AAATTAGTATTCTAACAACGATACTTACCTAACATGTGCTAAAAGACGACGAATGAGATATTGGGCTTGTGATTGTGTAGGCGATGGTCTGTCACCTTTTTCAAGATTTATCACCTAAGCCTATATTTTTTGGCTAAGCGTGGTCCTAATAACTCGCTTCTTTTTGAACTCTGCTTACCCCCTCTGAGATTGGCGTAAAGCCATACGTATGGATGGATGTAGATATGTATAATAATTCTAATGTGGCTTTCGGTGGATAAGAGATGATATTCTGCCGAGCAACGTGTTCAGCGGAAACCGGCTACTATTCTGTTTATTAGTGGTAGTAATAGTATGTACCTTGTTTTATATGTGTAAAGTTTTTTTTTTATAGGATAAGGGTGACAAACGAGCACACAGTCCACCTGATGGTAAGTGGTTGCTGCGGCCCATAGACATCTACATCTATCCTCTGTTACAAATCAAAATGTAGATGCGTTGTCACCCGTGAGGACTAAGATGGAATGGCCTCATTTCCAGTAAATTAAATTAATTTATTTATTCTAAGTTATCTGGAAACTTTCGTAGTGTGTTTTAGACTTCGGTTATTTATGATTTCTGTATCTTCATCATAACTGTGCGTTATAACTGTGCCTTCATACTAATTATATTTTGCATATTATGGAGTTTTGTTATTATAACTACAGACTATACTTTTTCTATCAAATTACCTTGCAATGTTGCTCTTCTTGTATGTTACTATCTATGAGCGTTTCATTAGTACTCACGAACAAGGGCGATAACACTTTGCTCCTCGAACCTGCCTGGGTGTGTTCTAACCCTGGCAACATATCGAACTAAAGAACACTATGGAAATACCAAGGACATTTTTTATAGTATAAGGGTGACAAACGAGCACACAGTCTATCTGATGGTAAGTGGTTGCTGCGGTCCATAAACATCTACATCTATCCACGTTTGCGAATCAAAATACAGATGCGTTGTCACCCATGAGGACTGAGATGGAATGCCTCGTTTCCAGTAAAAAAGGGTATCCGGCTTAATACACTCATCATAAGAGACACAGCAGCTTTAAGTTGCTATTTTACGCTGGTATTCTGTGAGAACGTGGTCCTTCTCCGGTCGAGCTGACCCATTCGTATATTATACTATTAATATAGCTGCAGCATGGGTCTACCACGTGAAATTTAAATTACTATACTTATATATTTAAATCTCTTTGGGAAATATATATAATATAGCTTTACTCGTAAGCAGTCACTGAAAATAATGGAAAGAAATAATCAAATAGTAACATTACCACCCTTAAATTACGTGAAATAATTGACCCGGCCAATAACTAACGCGGTGAAGTTCAATTGTTCTTACTTTTTTGGAATACCTACAAAATTTTCATGTAATTTACTATATACTCGGATGTACTGTATATACTATATTTTGAGGTGCCATTGGGGATCGAGCCCAGGTATTAAAGTCCACCGCTGAACATACGCCTCCCCCATGATCGTCTCAAAGGATATTTACCATAGTTGCTACATACGCTTAGAAATAATTATATTTCGCCTCGAGTGCGTGGTAAGTCAATACTTAAAATTGCAATTAACTATTTTATTTGAGCCGACAGGGATCAGACACGGGTTGCTCATCCATTGTGAAATTACGACAAGTGTTTAGCCCCTAAGCTCCTACGGCTCTATTAGGTACTAGCTGTTCCCCGCGACTTCGCTCTCGTGTTAGGTTTTTATGTTTTTGCGCGGAACCCTAATTATTTTTCTAAAATAAAGGTAGCCTAAGTTACTCCTTATGAAATCCTACCTGCAAGTGAAAATCCCGTCAAAATCGGTCCAGCCGTTTCGGAGATTAGCCGGAACAAACAGACAGACAGAAAAAAAATTTAAAAGTTGTATGTTAGATATAAGTACCGTATTTGCTTTCATATGCATTTAGTAAAAAACTTTAATTTTGGCATTACAAACAGACACTTCAATTTTATTTATTTGCATAGATAAGTAGATTTTTTGGATAATAAGCTGACCTGAGACAAACATGTTCTTTCTTACAGCTGCTTTCCTTCTTTTATTGCGTCTTTCCAATTTCTTGTTTTTTCGTCCTCTGTATTTGCGATTTTGTAAACGCCTCTGAAGATCCTTGAATCTAGCATTATAATTTGCAAACTATTATAATGAAACACAATTCTAACTCGAAAGATTTTTATTTTCAAACAAAAACGCTTTACAATTTGAACATAAACAAAAAAAAACCAAAGACTAGAGAAAAAAACTACCTTCGCCGGCAACACCGATGACCACAGTACTGACAAGTGAGATCTTTTGATCTTGATGATCCTCTAATTATCGCAGACATGGATAAGTCCTGATTTCTTCTGTATTTACGAACTCTTGCCAAGCGTTTTGGAGCCCTTTTGGTAGGTTGGCTTCTCGCTTTCACGCGCTTCCGTTTCTGTATCCTTCCGGTATGACGTTTCAATTTTTTCTTACCAGCAAACTTCCTCATCATACTCGGAAGTTTGGAAACACCCACATCCAAACGGGCCGTATCTAATCCACTCCTTACAGAATATATGCTGGAGTCAGTATCGTAGGCTATAGATGCAACATCTTGATCTTCTTCATCCTCTAGATCCTGTCTAGAGTTATTGCTCTGTTCTTCGATTTTACTTGTAGACGCACGGCTTGCTTCCTTCTTTTCATCATCCATAATTATTTTTTTCCAAAGATAACTGAAAATTTTTGCAGTGCTCACGTTAATAAATATTCAAAAATACACCTGTCAAAAAGTGAATTCAAGATTATTTTCTTTTTTGTATCAAACAAAAATTTGAAATTTTAAAAAATGACCTAAAAAAAGGTTTGTTGAGAAGAATTATGAAAAATAAGCACGTTTTAAGAGAAGTTGAAATCCTTGAGGTATAATACAACACTGTTCATAATTAATTTACAAACTTTTGTTTCATAAATATGCAAAAAGCGTTCATAGCATTTATTTTGTTACTAATTACGAGTTCTGATTATCTCATATTATTTGTGAATATCAATAACCAAAGTTGTGAAGCAGCAAATAATTAATGTAGATAAATATATTTTATAAACGTTATTTTTTAAACGCCGTTTCCTGGGTCTCCAATAGAACCCAATCACCTCATTTCCTTCTGTTGGTAAGATTCTTATAAAGGATGAGTCATAAAATTTTATGGCTTTCTATAGATGACGGTATAACCACTTTGTTTACCCCAGACGTAAAACACCCAGACCGGGAACGGGCGGCAGTGTCAAACGTTTTATACATCTGGTACCGCGATCGTCAATCCAACGATGAGGGTAAATCCTCCCTACAAACGCCTCCCGGTTGTCCCCATGTCCAAAACTAAACTATTATGGCCTAATGATGAAGAAGAGATTTTTTTTTTTAATTTATAATAATTATTCATTTAATTTTTCAATTTACGTAAAAATAATTTGTAAAATTATTAAAGAGATGAAGTCTGTCCAGCGATGGGTTGCTTAAATACTGTTACTTCACTTTTATTTTCAGTAATTCGTAAAGAACTTTTACTAGGTGGTAGCCAGAGTGGTTATTGATTAGAGTAGTAACTAACCAGACGGTACGTAAAATTCTGCCGCCGAGCAGTAGTGAGGTTTTTTTTATAGGATAGGGTGACAAAGTAGCACACAGTCCACCTGATGGTAAGTGATTGCTGCGGCCCATAGACATCTTCATCTATTCTCGATTACGAATCAAAATGCAGATGCTTTGTCACCCGTGAGGACTAAGATGTAATGCCTTGTTGCCAGTAAAAAGGGTCTCCGGTTCTCTACACTCACCATACGAAACACAGCAGTGTTAAGCTGCTATTTTACGCTGGTATTCTGTGAGAGCGTGGTCCTTCCCCGGTCGGGCAGAACCATTCGTGCTACAACTATACCTACTACTATATATTAGCACTACTATTATCCAGCTGCAGCATGGCTCTACTACGTCCACTATGTTCCGGTGTGAATGGTATAGAGAGCCAACATGACTGCAGATTATGAGCCATTCCATCTTATTCCTCAGAAAAGACAACAGATCTGTAGCTTTCTTTGTCTGAAGTTGTTGCAGATGGCCATGGACTAAAGGAAACTTTCAACAAGGTGAACTCTAAGTTTATTTGTCACTTCAAGTCTATAAAATGAAAAATAGAAACCTTGTACGATAACCAATTTGGCGTGTGGTGGCTGCGTAAATGTATCAATTAGCCCGCGTCCGTATTTTCTACAGACCTCATAACTTTTTACTGGGTGAACCGATTTCGATTATTCTTTTTTTATTTGAAAGCTGGTGCTTCACATGTAGTCCCATATAAATTTGATCAAGGTCTAACTATTAGTTTTTGAGTTATTCTTAATAATTTATATTGAAGTCGGTTGTACAATTTATTAATTTTGAATTATTCTTTCTCACGTGCCAGATAATCAGGTCTAAAATTACCTGCATAGTAGTATTACCCTACTTATTACAGCTGTGACAACGAAAAACTAAAATACGAGGCAATTAACAAATGGTATGCTACTTGCGTAGACCCTGGCGGCCTTTCATCTCAGGGGTACCTCGTTTAGAGCCGGGGCGGCATCAGAGGCAGCTGAACTGAGTAAGTGGCGCAAATATGAGTCTCTGAGAGATGACTACATATTTGTGCTATTTGATGTAGAGACTATTGGTCCGTGGGGTCCACGTGCGGTGGAGTTCCTAAAGGAATATCCGCGGCTGGTCGTTGCTGCTGGTGATAAGAGAGCTGGTTCTTTCCTCGCTCAAAGGCTTAGTATAGCCATTGAGCGGGGAAATGCAGCCAGCGTTCTTGGCACGATACCGCGGGGAGTAGGACTATATGATAATTAAGTTTCTTTTTTTTTAGTTTTTTTTTTATTATTACAGTTTTTAATATTGTAGATAAAAATTTTAATTTTCTGATAAACAATTATTTAAAACATACATCTTTTTAGATGCTGGTGCGGCTTGAGCAAGACAGCTCATGGTTCCAACATTACCACGGCGGCGTCGGGAGAAGCATGGGTGCCTGCGAGGCACACTCAGCCAGCACCTACCGACGCGTACGGCACCATCGAGTTCCAAGGTGGTCCTCATCCCACGAAAGCTCAGGTAAAGAGAATACAGTAAAAATAATGGCATGCTATCATAAAATGGTGCGGCCCGGAAGATTCAGTGACGATTTCAGATTAGTTTAATAGTCACAGTGTAATTTTATGACCACTATTGATCACTATCGTCACAATTGAAATTATACACAAAAACTATTAAAGATTTACATATGTATTGTTTTTATTAATTAAAAATACTAGGAATCTCTCGTAGATAAAAGCACTCGGATAAACAGCAGGAGTCGGAACAATTGCTTGTAACCCCTAAAAATACGTGTTTCCTGTGGGAATCCGACCAGCGTCTCGCAGCGCGTCACATTTTACTACTGCGCAAACGAGACGTCCAATTTATTTTAAAGAATTCCTTTATTATACAACTATGAAACTGAGTAAATATTTCATAAGTTGCAGACCCTCCTCAGTTTGTTTGAAATATATTAAATGTACTGCATCAGCATAATCATCATTAAAGCCCATCACAAGTCCACCGCTGTATATAGGCCGCCCCCAAAGCTTGCCATAAAATACGGTGCTGAGCCACCTGCATCCATCGACTACTTGCTTGTTTTATCAGGTCGCCACTCCATCTAGGGCGGGGTCGCCTAACACTGCGCTTCTCAGTACGAGAAGAGTTCTCGAGTTGTCAATCGTTTTCTTCTCCATCGGTTCTCAGTTCTTCGAACTATACGGCCATCCCATTGCCATTGTAGTCAACTGATCCGCTGGTCTATGTTATGTATGCCTTGTTCTTCTGGGAATATCCTAGTTATGAATTTTATATTTTTTTCTCCCTCGCACAACTTCCTTGTGGAATCGATTACCACCAGCGATTTTTCCGGACCGATACGACTTAGGGACCTTCAAGAAAAGAGCCAATTCATTTTTAAAAGGCCGGCAACGCATCTGTAATTTCCTTGGTGTTGCAGTTGTTCATGGGCGGCGGTAGTCACTCACCATCAGGCGAGCCGCATGCTCGTATGCCCGCTCTCCTATAAAAAAAATGTTATGAAGAAAAATATATTATGTATTATATCTCTCCATATATTATGTACTATAATAAAAGTTGCAGCCTATTTACGTCCCACTGCTGGGCACAGGCCTCCTCTCATTTTTGAGAGGGTTTTAGGGAAAGGAAATGTTCGCTGCGCTGCCCCAATGCGTGTTGGCGAACTTCACATGTCTTCGAAATTAATTTTTTTTCTTATTTCTCAGACATGCAGGTTTCCTCACGATGTTTTCCTTCACCGCCGAGCACGTGGTAAATCAGCACTTAAAATTGCAATTAACAATTTCATTGGTGCCGGCGGGGATCGAACCCGGATGCTCGAGTATTGTGAAGCTTACAGCGAGCGCTAACCATCTGAGCTACCACGTCTCTACTCATCATCATCATTCATCATTACAGCCCTTCACAAGTCCACTGCTGAACATAGGCCTCCCCCAAAGAATGTACACAAAGCACGGTCCTGAGCCACATGCATCCATCGACTTCCTGCATGTCTTACCAGGTCGTCACTCCATCTCGTGGGGGGACGCCCTACACTTCGCTTACCGGTACGAGGCTGCCACTCGAGAACCTTTCTTCCCCATCGGTTGTCGGTTCTTCGAGCTATATGGCCGGCCCACTGCCACTTCAGCTTACTAATCCGTTGGACTTTGTCGGTTACTCTGGTTCTTCTGCGGATATCCTTATTCCTAAGTTTATCACGTCTCTACTGTACTATAATAATTAAAATAAAATATTTCTCCTACAGTACGTTCGCTTATCCCACGACACTCGGCCAGAACTGATCGTCCAACTGCTGACAAGAGAGTGGGCGTTGGACAGACCGAAGCTCCTCATCACGATCCAAGGTGGCAAAGCCAATTTCGATCTGCAACCGAAACTGAAGAAAGTACTAAGGAAGGGCTTGCTGAAGGCCGCGAAGACAACCGGTGCTTGGATATTTACCGGAGGAACTAATACAGGTGGGTATAAGAGGGAATATACCACATTTTTTCACACCTAGATGTAGGTGTCTGTGAACCTAAGTGTCCACTTACTATCAGAAATGGACTGTATTCTTGTTCACCGTCCTAATTTTCTACCGACTTCAAAAAGAAGACGATACTTAATTCGACTGTATGTTTTTTTTTTCTTTTTTTATGTGTGTTACCACATTTTTTCTGGGTAAACCGATTTAGATGATTTTTTTTATTTGAAAGCTAGTGCTTCTCATGTAGTCCCTAATAATTTTGATCAAGGTCTGGCCAATAGTTTTTGAGTTATTCTTAATAATTTATGTTGAAGTCGGTTGTACAAAATGTTTAATTTTAAATTATTATTTAAAAAAAAAACACGCGTTCCACTGTGCCGATTGACGAATGAGGTCTGACTATGACTACTTGATGGTGCAAAATTGATTCAAAAACACTGAACAACCATTTAGTTAACGATTCATATTGCCTTATGTGGGCGGCGTGAGAGAATTCAACACCACATTTGATACCTTGGATGTTGTATGTTACAACTAAGGGAAAGACCATTAAATTATTACAGCTTCCGATTGAAGGAATATACCATCTCATTTAAGCGAGATATACATTCTCAGATCGGCAATGGACAAAGCATCAAAGGTGCGAGCCGTCTGATATTGCGATCTTTTCGCCTGTCATGCGTGACGAATAAGGCAAATTCTTCCTGCAACCGGAGAGTAAAACCATCATTATCAATACTAAGCTACGACGTACTCTGCACTTACTCACCTGTGTATCTAACAACATTAATGTGGTAGAGCCACGCTGCAGCTATATTATGTTTACACCACGAATGGCGACCCATTCGCCCGACCGGGGCAGGACCACTCTCTCACAGAATACCAGCGTAAAATAGTGGCGTAATGTTGCCGTGTTTCGTATGGTGAGTGTAGAGGACCGGAGATCCTTTTTACAGGAAATAAGGCATTCCTTCTTAGTCCTCAGGGGTGACAACGCATCTGCATTTTGATTCTTAATTCAGCATAAATGTAGATATCTATGGGCCACAGCATCCACTTACCATCAGGTGGACTGTGTGCTCGTTTGTCACCCTATTCTATAAAAAAAAAACATTTTAAATATTAGGGTACGACGGACTCTGCACCTACTCACCTGTGTATCTAACAGCATTAACGTGGTGGAACTACGCCGCACCTATATTATGCTTCAATCACTAATGGGTTGGTTCGACCGAGAAAGGACCACGCTGGCTAAGAATACCAGGATAAAATAGCAGCTTAATGCTGCTGTATTTTATGCGGTAAGTGTAGAGAACTGGAAACCGTATTTACTGGTAGCCAGACATAATATATTCGTCCTCAGGAGTGACAAAGCATCTACATTTTGATTCTTAATCGACAAATAGAAATAGGTGTCAAGGGGCCACAGGATCCTTACCGTCAGGTGGGCTATGAGCTCGTTTGTCACTATCGTGAGTGACGCTATTAGATTCCACTGTTGTTTTTTTTTTTAATCAGTTCATCAATTAAATCTCTTATATATCCTCTAATGATGGTATAGTTTGAAAACCAACTCCAAAAAGCATTACGCCAACAATCTTACAAGGGTGGATTGAAAAGTACTCGGCCTAACCAAGAAAATAAACACATACTAAATCAGTTATATTTTTATTTTTCTACATAATCACCATCAAGTTCAATACACTTTTGCCACCTCCCCTTCCAAGCATTTAGACCGTTGAAAAAAAATGATTCTTCCTTAGAGTCAAAATATGCGTCTACAGCTGCTTTGACCTCGTCGTTTGTCGAAAATCTTTGACCTCCCAAGTGCTTTTTTAGGTTAGGGAACAGAAAGAAGTCTGATGGTGCCAGATCAGGTGAATACGGCGGATGCGGTAACAGTTCAAAGCCACAGTTGTGAATTTCAGCCATTGACTGTAGTGACGTGTGAACACGGGCGTTATCTTGATGAAACAGGACTTTTCTTCTGAGCATTCCTCGACGTTTTTCTTTTATTTCCTCTCGTAAACGACGTAGTATGGTGCAGTAGTAATCAGAGTTTATATTCTGACCCCTTTCAAGATAATCAATCATAATCACACCTTTCGAGTCCCAGAATACAGAAGCCATCACCTTATTTGCCGACAAAATCGACTTAGCCTTTTTAGGGGGTGGTGAACCAGGTCTTCTCCACTGTTTTGATTGTTGTTTTGTTTCCGGTGTACAGTAATGAACCCATGTTTCGTCCATAGTAACAAAACGATTCAAAAAATCATCTGGATCGGCTTCAAATAACTCCAAACAGTCGCGTGAAATAGTCAATCGCGTCCTTTTTTGTTCAACTGAAAGCAGTCGCGGAACCCACCTCGCAGACACCTTGTGGAAACCCAACTCGTTGACAATGATGTTTTGAGTTCGTTCATAAGAGATGCCTATAATCTCGGCTATCTCTCTAATTTTTAATCTGCGGTCTCCCATTATTAAATCAAGTACTTTTTTAATATTTTCGTCAGTAGTTGACGTCGAAGGCCTTCCAGAGCGGGGATCATCTTTCACACTCTCTCTACCACGCTTAAATTCTGCTATCCATTTTTTGACGGATGAATATGACAGAGCACAGTCGCCTAATGTACTGACCATGTCATCATGGATGGCTTTTGATGATAGCCCCTTCTTATGGAGGTACTTAATGACGGCACGCTGCTCGATTTGCTCCATTCGCGGAAATTATGTCCGATTACTTTGTTAATAAATTTATAAAATCACAACTAATTATCGCACACGTTTCGAACTTCACACAATGAACTAGTCTGAACTGAACTAAATAATGTGCGTAGATTTGATTTTTAGAATTGAATGGATCTGTGTTAGGCCGAGTACTTTTCAATCCACCTTGTAGTTGATTGTATATTTAGTGCATTCATATAAATAACTCCAAGATCAGTTAACCGATTTTGCTATTTTTTTTAAAATACTAGTAATGTTATTAAACATACATATATATTCCCTTTAACCACTTCTGGTAAGCTTAAAATCCTTGTGTTAGAAGTGGTTCACGACGGTAGTCGAATGGCGGATTCGAACCCACGACCTTTCGAGTTCGCGGTCCGCGCCCTGCCATTAGGCTACCGGCGCTTCAAACCTGTTCTTTTTTAATTAAAAGAACAAGGAAGAGGGTAGAAGTATGTTTATATATTTTTTATAATCTAATGTATAACTGCAATAATAACAATTATTTTCCTTAGGTGTAACTCGTCAAGTTGGCGATGCATTGCAACTGGAGCGGTCTCAGCGCGCAGGCAGAGTTGTCAGCATCGGTATAGCGCCATGGGGTATTGTGGAAGGCGCTAACGAGCTGATCGGAAAGGGGCGTGATGTGCCTTACCACGCGATTGCATCACCCAGGTGATTATCAAATTTACATAATTCACGTTAGAATCTATGCCCGTTAAGTCGTAAGAGGCGACTGTGGAAAATGCTAGAAAAACAAGCTGTAAGGCATTAATCTAAGTCCTCAGCGATGACAACTGAAACCGCGTTTCGTGTCCATGTGCTCCTTTATTGACTTCTCAATAGGTGGACTAGACTGTCAGCTTGTTTGTCACTCTAAGATTTCCAATAAGTGTAAATATTTTATTTCCATTATTGTGATTGGTTAAAAATTTACTTTATAAAAAAAATTCGGATATATTTCGACAAACAAAAAATGGAGCCGGGGTAACTCAGCGCTAAGAGCACTCGCCATTAATTTCACAGTTCGCAAGCAACATGGATTCAAGCCCTGGCGTCGCCAATTGAAATTGTTAATTGTAATTTAAATTTGTATATCTATGTACTCAGCGGTATAGGAAAACATAGTGAGGAAGCCTGCATGTTTGATAATCAAAATATATGAAGAATATGTGGAGTCAGCCGACAGCCAACAGGCAGCGCGGTGATAACTGTCTCAAAAATGAAAGGGCTGTGTCCATCAGTCGGACGTATAATTTAAGCTGTAATTTTGCTTTTACTCCTTTAAATAGAAAACAAAATAATATCCCCACTAATCCCAGCGCCTGATGTATTGGTGTTGGGATTAGTGGTGACGGGGATAGTGGTCACAGCAACCACTTACCACCAGGTGAACTGTGTGCTCGTTTGTCGCCCTATTCTATAAAAAAATAATTTAATAACAAATGAAATTTCTGCGCACATTTTCCAAATTAAATTAAACCTAAAACCCTGCAATCACTTAGTAAAACGCAGAGTGCCTTTGAAAGTGTACAATCTATATTTTATTACTTCGCGAGGGACGTACATAAAAAGAAGTGTCTCGAAAGCGGAGTAAGCATAAAATAGCAACAAGTTGTAAAAAGGCGATATAAGAGCGGCACTAAAGAAACGTTAAGGATTTGTCAGTATATCAAAAATGTCTTGAGTAAAGATAATAAAATTTGAAGCCATACTTATAAAAGTCGTGTAGTGACGATGTAAGAATATTCACTCCACTACCCCATATCATTCCGTGGGCGTTGTAAGGGGCAATAAAAAAAATTAAAAAACGTGTATGTGTACTTATGTACGCACTTAAGAAGTTATACTTCTTTAGCGTAACAAAACAAAAATTAAAAAAACTAAACTAAAAATAACTACCATAAATATAATTATCAGTTCCAACGAAAACTTGAGAGACAGTTACCCACTGAAGTTGTCGCTTTGAGGTTTCAGTGTGCGCGTGCATCGTAACAACTTCATGGTGTCTTTTTAGGTGTCGGTGTACGCGCATCGAAAAAATTCACTCTCATCATTTTTCCCAAACGCCCCAAAAGAAGTATAACTTCAAAAACCTGCGTTCGCCAACCCGCTTGCCAAGCGTGGCAACTATGGCAAATATCCCTCCTATGATGCACTTTGTAGTGGAGGCCTATGAGCAGCAGTGGTAACTAATAAAGTGTTTAACAAAATAGATCTAATAAGAGAAAAAGTAAAAATTAGTAAAGGATCACTTAGGAAAAAATAAAAAAAAACATTATACAAGATTGCTAATAGAACTATATACGAGTACATTGTAGTAGATTAAAACATTACAATATCATATATAAGTACTAGATATTTAATTCATATAATTAAAGTTACGTGTATATAAAGAAATATAGTTAACATAACAAGATGTCATAGGTTTATATATTTATATATAAAAATTACGTGTCACGTTGTTTGTCCGCGATGAACTTCTAAACTACTGAACTGATTTCAATAAAATTATGCACACAGTGTGCAGTTCGGTCCAAATTGAAAGATAGGATAGTTTTTATCCCGATAAGTGACCTCAATATTCTTTATTGCGAATATAAGGATTTTTAATAGGACAAAGGGTCGTCGGTATGGGCAGAACAACCTCTGCCTGGCGAACTAGTATTACTATATTATATAATGGTGTATTATTGTGTCCAATATTAGTAGTATATAAGGTGGATCCTTGTTATGTAAAAGAGCGCCTCTCGCTATCAAACGTAAAAGGTTGGCGAGTTTAGAATTAAGTAACACCTCTGTATCATAAATTCATTGTTAAATAAATTTAAAAAAAAATCCATTTGTTAAATGATCGCTTAAAAAATATCAATAAGATGGTCATTATTTATGTTAAAATTAATATTAACTTTTCGGCGGTGTAGGAAAACAACAAGAGGAAACCTGCATGACTGAGGAATAAATTATTTCATGGACATGTGAACTCCACCAACATTCACTGGAATAGGGACTAATTCCTTTTCAGAAGCAAGAGAAGGCCTGTGAGCAATTGTAAGACGTATAACTTTCTGTAATTAAATATCGTATCAAATTGCTTTGGAGACGAAACCATTAATTTTTACTCAAGATACGACCACTCCTATTGAAAACAGTAGAATTGTTTATGAAATTTAAACTTTCAAGTATGGAACCCATTACCAATAAGCCAATAACTTTAAAGTGGCAAGTTAATAAACTTCTAATATATAAATAAATAAATAAATATATATATATATATATATATATATATATATATATATATATATACTACTTTTATATATTACTTTATACTAGTTTTTTACCCACGGCTTCGCTTGCACGAGCTTGACTTTAGGAACATCATTAAATTCTATCACTTTTAGAGTCACGTCGGTGTCTGTGTCTTTATGTCTATTAGACGTAGATTAGGTAATTGGCATAGATATAATATGCTACAGGAAAACGTGAATGTCTAGAAACCCCTACTCTTTCTTATATCGGACGTGTCTTCCGATGTATCCATAAGAAAGGTAAATTGTCTTGAAATCAAAATGTATTATTATTATTTACATTTTATTCCTTACATTCATAATTAAAGTTAATTTAGTTTTAACAAAATAATGTTGAATTTCATGGTCTTCTATCAATTTACGGTATAATGTTTATTTGTGATATTTTATTCATATAATTGGTCCTATTTAATATTGATTTGAATTTTGCACTAGGACTTTCAAAATTTCATAAATGCAGTTCTACTAATGTTACGGATTTTATCACGTTTAATTTTAGATATTTTTACGTGGGTTTTTTTATACATCTTTGGATGAAAGTTCCATAAAAATCCGCGTAAAAGAACATATCGTTGATGTGGAGCACTGACGCTCCGGGAAGTCGAAAGTATGTCGACATGCTTAGTATCATCCCAACCATTACATCGGATCTGATAGACAACAAATACATGCAATAGAACACCGATACCTACCAATGATGATACGCGAGGCTATTGAGATTAAAAAATAACATCCTAATTTTAATTGGGAAGATGGCTGAGTGCTACCATCTGCTAAGGACTCTATAATTAATAAAATTAAATTCGAACCCAAGCATACTACTGCATTTATTCTATTCTTTTCTTATTATATTCTGTTCTAACTATGACATCAGGTCGTCCAACACCTCAGTCCTCCCGTGACCATGGGTGTTACAAAGTGTTCAAAATATCGGGAATTAAATAAGTTAAAATTAAACGCGATACAATCCTTAAAATTAGTTTTAGTCCTTATAAATGTAATTCACAGTGAACGTGGGAAGCATTACACTCATGAACGGTAGTAGGAAAATGTTCGCCTTTTTGTCAGTGAAAGAGAAAACGCCACCTCATATCGTCCCGTCGTAAGAGGTGACATAATATGTAGAAAACCAAACAGGAGATTGGCAGCATAATATTCCTGACAACAGATCAAAACAATAATATCTGCGGTTGCCAACCCGCCTACCAAGCGTGGCAACTATACCAAATATCCAGCTACTTGACAATTTATGCAGGAGGCCTATGTTCATTTCAGTGGACTTTTGATAGGCTGACGATAATGAGTTCTACTCATCTTTGCAACCCTTAATATTTACGGTAGAGTGAAAACAGAAATGTAGCATACCCGAAACTATGAATGCAATAAAAACGTAAAAAAGTAGCAGCTTTCATACATATTACTATTGGGCACAGGCCGAAGTTTTTGGCCCAAAAAATGTTCGCTGCGCTGAATCCAATGCGGGATGACCTCAACTGGAAAACTCGGATATGCAGGTTTGCAGGAAGTGGTAAATCGACGCTTCTAATTGCTATTCAAATATATACATATAATAATGCTTACGTACCATGAAATTTAAGTATCAATCAGTTTGATTACCGCATTTGACTAGTAAAAATAAAATGAACTTTTGTTAAAGTAAAATTCAGCTTTCTTTAATTAAAGTATTTTTCCGCAGGAGCCTGTTCATTTACATCTATACAAATAAAAAAATTGAAGTGTCTGTTTGTAATGTCAAAATTACAGCTTTTTACTAAATGCATATGAAAGTATATACGATACTAATAACAAGAATACAATTTTTAAAGTTTTTGCCTGACTGTCTGTCTGTTCGTCTGTCTGTCTGTTTATTCCGGCTAATCTCTGAAATAGCTGGACCGATTTTGGCGGGATTTTCACTAGCAGATAGCTGATGCCACAAGGAGTAACTTAGGCTACTTTTATTTTAGAAAAAGAATTATGGTTCCACGCAAAAAAAATTAAAACCCCCAAATAACACGCGAGCGAAGTCGCGGGGAACAGTTAGTATAATCACATAAGCTATGAAACCAGGACTATCACAAATATCTTAATATGTTTTAAATCAGTTATTGAGTTTTTCCATCAAGAAATTCTCAGTAGCTGCCCGTATTCAGGCAGTTGGCGGTGTCTCACCCCCGTGCCTCGGAAAGCACGTAAAGTCGTTGGTCCTGCGCCTGATCTCTCTCCGGTCGTGTCGGTTTACCGTCCCATCGGACTATGAGAGTGAGAGAATAGAGAGCGCACCTGTGCTTGCGCATACACTTGGAAACTATAATCCTGTCCTGCGCCGATGGCTAGTCTCCGTTGAGACTGGCCGCCGTGACCGAAATTTGGTCTGGAGGATATTAATATGTCTGAAAATATGAAAGCTATCTTAAGTTACAAACTGATTTATAAGTCTCATTAAAGGTAAAAAAGTAAAGTAGCAGCTAATATACGAGCCCTGTGCACAGTAGGGCTTCTCATTACCTACATATATAGTGTTTAGTGGGCAGAAAAATAGAATGCTGCAATGCTTCAGTGTATATTAACGGTTTTCACATCTCCACGATTATTTTAATTACTCAGACATTAGGTTTCCACACGAAATTATTCTTCACCACTTTAACAGACACGTGTTAAGCCAGCACATAAAATGTTCTATAACATTCATCCTCGAGGGAATCGTACACGTTTTGTTCCCGTGCAATGATGAAATCTCAAGGCAAGCTACGTGGCCCTCGTATTTGTTTAAATACAATTCATAAAAACTGAAACTAAGCTTTGGATGATTGTTGACTACGTCTACCTAGTAAATACACATCCAATGATGCCACGAAAGAATTTTCAATTTTTTTTTTATAGGATCGGGTGACAAACGAGCACACAGTCCACCTGATGGTAAGTGGTTACTGTGACCCATAGACATCTACATCTATCCTCAATAAAGACTCAAGATGCAGATGCGTTGTCACCCGTGAGGAATAAGATGGAATGCCTCTTTGCCAGTAAAAAGGGTCTCCGGTTCTCTACACTCACCATACGAAACACAGCAGCGTTAAGTTGCTATTTTACGCTGGTATTCTGTGAGAGCGTGGTCCTTCCCCGGTCGAGCTGACCCATTCGTGCTACAACCATAATATAGCTGCAGTATGGCTCTACCACGTACAATTATTTGCATGGAATGTTCAGTAGCATTCTATTATTTACTTTTATCAGTGATTTATCAGTTTAGTAGATGGCGCTATTATTAGATGAAATAATGAAAGTCAAAACTATACTATCTAGTAATATCAGAAGGGAAAATTTATTTATTATATCAATAAAGCATAAAGTGATGTCAATTCTGTTAAAAGTTCTATTTCTGTTAAAAATACGCTATCAGCCCCGCTAGCGGTGAAAAACGATTTAATGATATAGTAATATGACCATATCATGAAAAAGCAACGTTGTGTTTAGTTATTAATGTCTTCAAACGATTTCTATTCATTGATTTGGTTAAGCTATATCATGACATGGTCAACAATCAGTATTAAATACCATGAAATGACCACAGTCATTTCTTTTATTAATTAATTTTACGATCTGGCCACGACATTATATATAAAAATCCCTTTAATAAAACTATAATGATAATGAAAATTTTGCAATAATTGCAAACAGAAGTGTTTTAATCGGCTTGCATATAGATTAGTAATTGAAGTAAAAACCTTATCAATTTTCATATTTTTGATCAAAGACATTTAAGTAGTTAGTATACCTACATATTTAAATCTCTTTGTTTTTGATAGACGTCACTATTACCTATTGAAATTCTTACACTTTTAAAATAAAATAACAAAAATACTAAAAAACAAAACGTTAGAATTTTTAAATAATTTTAAAATTCTTATTATTTAAACATATAAATATAAGTTATTAATATTATTTAATTTATTAGTAACTGAAGGCAAAATCTACTACTTTTTCCATTTGATGATAGATGGCGCTGTTTTGATAACTTGTGTCTGAAGTCGAGTCTTTGCTGAACAAAGTCTCGGATTGGGGGCGACTAAATCTAGTCCAGTTTAATCCTCAGAAGACACAAGTTTGCGCGTTTACCGCTAAAAAGAACCCCTTTGTCCTATCTCCTCAGTTTCAAGGCACTCCCCTTCTCGCCTCAGCCAGTATCGGAATCCTCGGAGTCGACATATCGGGTGACGTGCAATTTCGTGGTCACTTGGAAGAGAAGGCAAATTGGCCTCTAAAAAACTTGGCGTGCTCAGCAGAGCGGGACAGTATTTCATGCCGGCACACCGCCTGCGACTTTACAAGGCGCAGGTTCGGTCTCACATGGAATACTGTTCCCATCTCTGGGCAGGGGCTCCCCAGTGCCAGCTCCTTCCACTTGACTGCATCCAGCGCAGAGCGGCTCGAATCGTTGACGACCGAGTCCTTTCCGATCGGCTCGATTCATTGGCACTGCGAAGAGATGTTGCATCCCTTTGCATTTTCTTTCGAATTTACCACGGGGAGTGCTCTGAGGAATTGATCGGATTAATACTAATGTCACGAACGCACATCGCGGCAAAACTCCCGATACCATCCACACCATCTGGATGATTGGCGGTCCACCACTGTGCGATTTAGAAGATGTTTTCTTCCTCGCATGACTTCCTTGTGGAATCGATTACCATCAGCGATTTTTCCGGACAGATACGACTTAGGGACCTTCAAGAAAAGAGCCTACTCCTTTTTAAAAGGCCGGCAACGCATCTGCGATTCCCCTGGTGTTGCAGTTGTTCATGGGCGGCGGTAGTCACTTACCATCAGGTGAGCCGCATGCTCGTTTGCCCCCTCTCCTATAAAAAAAAATCTAAATCGGTGTAGTTTCAAATTATTTTACCAAGGTTATAACTATATTTTAAACTTTATTTATAAATATGGTATTTATTTGAAAAACACCCGTCATCCCGCCTATAGCTAATATATAATAGAAAATTAACCTCTTAAGGAAGGATAATACTTAATCTTCTTTTTTGGAAGTTCCGTAATCGGATAAAATGTAGGCCATAAGTTGCGCCGGGTTATTAACTAACTACATACTAAATTTCATGTAAATCGGTCCAGTAGTTTTTGCGTGAATCTGGAATACATAGACAGACAAAAATTATACAGACAAAAATTCTAAAAACCACTGATTTGGCTTCAGGATCCTTTATTTAGTCTCCTGGACTTGTTTTTTCAAGAGTATATTAAAAATACAGACACGACTTTTCTACAGATTTATTATATGTATAGATTGTAGAGTATTGTCCCAAATTTAGAGTAAAACGTGATCATATTATTCTCTTTAATTTATATTTTAAATAACAGTCCCTGGCCTAGAGCTTAGTACAATTTCTTTTTACCTTTATTCTCCAGTTAGAGATAGCAACTTACAGTACTTGCATCGTTGTCAAAATTGTCAACCAAGTATATAAACTTATACTATTAAAACCTTATTTTCGATATTCTTGTCGATGACGATAGAGAGGAATATCCTCGAGCTAACTTCGACCACAGTGCTATATTATGATTATTTTTGGACTGCGTAGGAGACAATAAAAAAATTGATTTTTTTAGTTAATATAAACTAAAAATAATAGGTACTTACCATAAACCATTGGCAACCGCAGTTTTTCTTCATTTTGGGTTGTTCTTAAGATGCTGCTGCCTAAGGATGACGAATGTGCACACAGTCCGCCTGATAGTAAGCGGTTGTTGTGGCCCATAGACATGTACATCTATCCTGGATTAAGAATCAAAATGAAGATACTACTACTACTATAGACTAAGATGGATTGTCTCTTTTCCAGTGTAAAGGTTCTTCGGTTCTCTACACTCACCATACGAAACACGCTTTACACTGCTATTCTGTGAGAACGTGGTCCTTCTCCGGTCGAGCGGACCCATTCGTGCTACAACAATAATATAGTTGCAGCATGGCTACCTTACGTGGTTACGTGCACGTCATGTTTAATTTCCCTCTGTTGCCTCTTATGACACCCATGGAATGATGGGGTTAATTGAGTTTATAATCTTTCCTAAACTTTGTAAATATGTATGCTGTTGGTATACCTTACAAATAAAGAAATAAATAAAATATACAAATTTATAAGAAATAGCCTAATATTGTATCTAACAGTCTTTTCATACAATTTTTGTTTCTCAAATTGAGCTATTAAGGAAATAAACGGAAAAGCAAAATTACCAATCATATTGCGCGGGCAACTCAAGCTTGGTGCTTTTTATATGAGAAAACGGAAAAAAAAGTAATTTTTTTTTCAGAAATGAGAACTAACTAGAACGATTTTTCGCCTCCGTAAGCCCCAACATTGTACATTTCGTCGAAATCATTAGAGCCGTTTTGAAAATGCGAATACAAACATATTTATATTGCTCGTGTAGTGTAGGATAGGATAAACTAAGTTATTTATTAGCTGTCGTAGTAATTGAAATATTATTTCCTAGATCGAAGTTGGCCGTCCTGAACAACCGGCATGCGTACTTCCTGCTTGTAGACAACGGCTCGGTGGGTCGCTACGGTGCCGAGATCGTGCTGCGAAGAAAGTTGGAGAAATACATTGCCGCACAGAAATTACATCCTTGTAAGTACTTAGTTTTACTGAATTTATTATGTAAAACGATAATTTTTAAGATTCTTGTCTTACCAAATCACAAGCCCACTCCCCCTTTTTAACTTATAGATACCACTTTTTTCTATCTTATACTGAATTTGCTTATTTTGTCAAATATATTAATACTTTGACTAATAACTCAACGTAACATTTTCAGAGTATATAGATCTCGTTCTCGTACATTTAAATCTTCTTATGACGAAAGAAAATGTTTTTCTCTGGAAGATTTCTTTGTAAATATACCTTCACCATTCTCATTTAAACATTCATCTCCAAACGTTCCCAATACCCTTCTATTATAACATCACTTCACCCCAACCCATCCATTTAAATCTACTAGAATAATAATATTTTATTCTTAAAACTATCTTTACCATCTCCCAATATTCTTCCCGGATATGAATGAATTTTGACATGTCTGGAGCGTACACTGCCGGGACAAGGCACCGACTCTGAGCACAATTGCCAATTTATTACTACTTTTACCAATTACTTACATATATAAAATCAATATAAATACCCTATTTATAAAAATCTATATAAATTAAAATTTTAATATTTGTATATTCTAAATTGAAAGTTCTTCATCAATTGCTTCAAAATTTTGACACAGCGTTACATTATTTTTGAAAAGCCTCAGCAATGTGTGGCCGAGAGAAGCATGTAAATAATATAATCAGGCATAACCTTTTGGAAATATCTTATATTAAAAACCTCAAAATTTGCTGGCTAAGATGCGTCTGCTAAAATAAAATGGTGTAAATAATTAAATTATTTAAGTACTGTTACGAGCTTGGGGTTCGAGACAATTAAAAACTGCCGATCGAATTACCAAAATTGACACTTTAATTACACAACACTGATTACAATCTAAAATCACACCAATAATAAAACACAGTTCGCCGTTATTTCGCTTCGAAGTATTCTCTTGTATCGCCAATTCAATACTCCCTTGGTCGTGGTCTGTACCGGCCTTATATAGGGCCTCAGATAGTTTCCAGAACCTTCTACTGTAGCGACATCTAGAATGTTCGAGTACATATCGGTCCCGAAATTTCTGGAAGGATCTTGACTCTCCTAGTTCTGCTACTCGACACTAGAGGGCGCTAGTGTAACTAGTGTTGCCATGTACAAAACATTAATAGTGGCGCGCAACAATACTTAAACATTTGAATATTTAAAGTACTTTAAAGAGCACTACCCACCCTCCTACAATTGCGTGCACTCTCCACTCGCCTTCTACAGGAGGAACCGCCTCAAGTCTTAGCGTTAAACCATTGCAATCTTTCACTCATGATGATGGCTTGTTCACAGGTGAAACACAAGTCGCATTATATACGGTAGTATGTTAAATTCGCAGTGTTAAGGTGAGAGTGATGTTGAGTGTATAAGTAAGTATGAGATGAATTAATATTTATTCCAGGGCAGAGCTTGAAACAAAAAAAACTACCGCAATATTTCACATTTATAACATAACAATAATGGCACTACCTCATATAATAAATATTCATCATGCAGGGACTGATGTCCGTATGTATATGACAGAGTCGATGAGATACTGTAGATCATACAGTATCTTGAATTGTAACTTGGGTTATTAATGACTACTTTGAACACCTCCACCGTGATATGAGTTTTCAATGCGGCGAGAATAAAAACAAGTTAAAATAAATTAAAAATTAAAATATTTTTTTAATTAATTAATCTATTACTATTACTATTAATTAATTAATCCCTAAATTAACACTGATTAATAATTAAATTAAAGCATAAAAAAACTGTAGAGACGCGCTATAGATAAATTATTTTATTATATCCTGGTGATTATGATAAATTATTGTATTGTCATCGGCCTTTGATACGATTGCAAATTTTCAACTTCAAGAGAACAGTACAGAACTATAAACATTCCTTCCTTTAAATAAATGTCCCGCCGCTAGGTGAAGCAATATTTACTTAAAACTACAATGCTATTTACAGGTAGTATTTCATTGTCGCTATTGTTATGATAAATGTTTTAAGCCTAATTCTCTCGATAAATTTGCAGTTCCGCTGTGTACTTTGCTAGATTAAATCTACATAGGAGAGCACGAACATCTCTACAATTTGTTGCAAATAAATATACGCACACATTTTTATTAAAATACACTTGTAAAAACTTAGTTTACCTTAATATAAACAAAACTGTACAAAATAGAATAAAATGATAATTATACGGAACATTAATAGATTAATTAATTAATTAAAAAATATTTTATTTTATATTTTATTTTAACTTAGTTTTTATTCCCGACGAATTGAAAGCCCACATCACGGTGGAGGTGTTCAAAGTAGTCTGAAGTCGTTATTAACCCAAGTTACAATTCAAGATACTGTAAGACCTTTTTTTTATACGTGGGGAAAGAGTATCTCATCGATAGTGTCAACGGACATCAGTCCCTGCATGATGAATGTACCAAAACCTGCATGTCCAAGGTATTAAAAGTATTTTAGAAGCATGAGAATTCCACCAAATTAATTTGGGTAGCGTGGGGGAATCTTTTTTGCTTTAAAAGCGTCTCAGAGATAAAGGAGGACAAGGAGTCACCAGCATAGGAACATATGTACGTGTTTTTTAAGTAAGAGATATACCTATATGCTATAAGTGCCACGTGCCACGCTTCCAGGGAGGCTTGGTACCGCAGATATTATTTTCTTGTTGTTGTTAACAAAACGCTGCTGTCCATCGGTTTAGTGATATATGAGCTTCATTCATTTTTCATAAATTATAACTTGAAAAAAAAATGGTTTATATAAAACTAAATTTAATTATAATAATGATTAATTGCATTATATTAAGTTGTAAGCCTAATAATATTACATATTTGCATTAGGTAAAAAGGCGTGCAATTAAATCGTTGTTCCTACTGAATAGCGAGTACTACACACGGGTATAGTTTGTAGAAATCATCTCTTGGAATTAAAAGCTTACTTCAAAAAAGACACTTGTGAAATATGTTTACAAAATCTTTATTCGCAACGAAAATAAAAATCACGGAAATTACTTTTAATTAACATCAATCATAATATAATACAAGTTACCGTTACCGTTGCTGTTACAGCCTATTGAAGTCCACTACTGAACATGACCCCCCCCTCCCCCTCATAGATTGCCCCATCAGTATATAGACCATAGGTAATAATGATGTGAATAAATACAAAAAGCAAATTATTTTCACAAATAATAAAGGCTGGCAAGATTTAATTAAGTTAAGAACATGAATATAAAACTTCCGTTGGTGTTAACACTGTAGCTTTCACTTTTGTTTCAAAAACATTTTCAAAGTTTTAATTAAAACGCTTATAACAAATAATTTACATTTTATCTTAAGTCTTAAGTGGAATGAGTTTAAATACATATTATCACGTTATTTCCTTCATGTTTTTATAAACGTTAGTCTATGATCTATCCATCGTTTGGCATAGACTAGTTTTAAATTCGTAAGATATGCCAAACCACCATGCTTGGCTGGCAGATTAGTCCCTGCATGATGACTATAATCGGTTTCTTGAGTATTATATAAATAAACAAAACAATACCTCAGCGGTTTACTTTAATTTATACTTTATTGCTATCATCTTTAATAAAAGGATTAAAAGGGCCCGCTTAATGCCTTTTGGCATTCTCTCTCAGTCAACCCAGTTTTTGTGCAAACACAAAACTATTAAAAAACGTGTCCCAGACACGAAGCTTCTGTGCGTCATCTGTTTGCATAATATACGAAAAGCCAAAAACGGATAAGTTAGGATGAAATACCTCTGTGTTTACACTTTACGTATTAGAGCCAATTTGATATAATGTATGAAATCCTCTTTACGACTGGAGACGCTTATGTTCAGCTGTGGACTTTTCCGGGCTGATGATGTAGATTATGATGCACTGAGAAGTTGGTGACTACTATACCGAGATTGTTGTGGAACTCGAAATTGGCCACAAAAGTATTTATCTTGATAAGAGTTCTGACATGAAGGAAAGTCGAATTGGGTTTGTCATCTTTAATTTTGCGTTTCCTGGGCTTGAATACCATTCAATATTAGTGGTAAATTTCGTTTGTTGCAAGTTGTTTGTGTTTGCTTATCCCCGTGTAACCAGGAAAACATGATATAGGTACATACATATATTGAACTCCACGCTAATTTGATCTCTTTAAATTAAAAAAAAAACATCCAAATATATTTTAACGCTGAGTATATCCTAAACAACAAACAAAATTCTCTCGGGGAAAATATTTATGTGCAGTAAAAACACATTATAGCCCCAGAGTAACCACGACCTGGACTGAGGTGAAGTTTTAAATAAAAGTTAATTGGTTTCTGGAGTATTATATAAATAAACAAAACAATGCCTGTAGCAAACCACATAGTATTTTTCACATGTTTTAACTCTTTTTTTCAATTTTTTCTATTTTTGGGAATATCTATAATTCATAATTTATGATTATTTATTTGCATAAAATATAGTTAGATATTACAAAAGTATATTTAAAACATAAAAGTTCCGATACATTCTGTCTAATCGAGGCGTGCAAATTTTGACTAAATAGTTATAATTTTTAATACCTTTTCTTTACAATAATTATTGATGAATTTTAGTTTACTAATATAAATAATAATGTCCAATTAATAATAAAATAAATGTCAAAGGAATAATTAGGAAAAACAATGTCACACAATCGTTTACAAAAATGTCAAAATATAAGTGTTCATACGGAAAAACAGTACAAATAATCAACTAATAGTTATTCTATCGAACTTTTATTTTATTTACTCACAGCAAAAATTCAAGCAATTTAGATATTAAACTAAGATAGGAAACTGGTATTTTGGACATTCGTTCGGGGACTTCGGGAAGTCCGGGACAGTTCGGGACTAGTTACCAGTTTCCTGTTTAAGTCAAGAAAGAAAATAATAGAGAAAAGTGATAGGAAAAA